GACGGCTTTTTATTTTTTCAGGAATCGGGCAAAGTTTGAAAAACGGTAAATCGGCGCTCTTTCGAGTATGAAATTACCGAAAATTGAGCATTTTCTTCACGCTCGTACATAAAAACTGGATAATATCTCTAAATGAAATCAAGTCACAAAACAAACATAGACTTGTGCTTTATAATTCAGCAATTAACTTTAGATAAGCTGTTAAAATGTGACTGTGCCGGCCGCAAGAAGAAACACGGTTTCGGCTCTTTTCAAAAATGGCAAATTTGGGCTAACTTCACCATCGAAAAAACCCAATTGGTACATAGAATTTCAACATGAAATAAACACTGTTTTCAAGCACATTGTTTGCTGTTTCTTGTGTTAAAAAATCTCTCGCGGCATTACAAAAGCGCGTCGCTGAGACACCGAAACGTGGAGGATATTTTCGCACGTGGGAACGGTGACACAAACAAGCCGCAATGAGGGTAGACAAGTGCTGCTTAGCTTCTTTAACAGAGGTTCACAATGCGAAAACTTCTTAAAACCTTTTAAATATGTTTTCAGTTTGTTATAAAGGGCTATGTAGATTAACACTGTATTTGATCGGGTGATTGCATGCAACATTCAAGAAGACAACACATTTCTGGTAGTGTAAATATTGACCCTGAGTTTCTAACTTTTAAGCAAAAGCCACTAAAAACGGCTTGGTATTTCTGAATGGGACACCAGATCTATAGGAATTTTCTTACCTCAGTCATTTCAACTGCAAGTAGCCGCAATTCACTGAAACACTTTTAAAAATTGTTTATATCTGACTTTGTCGTTTAAAACTGAGCGACTTTATATACCGTATGTTGTTGAAAGTATCGTGTGTGATTCGAGTCTGGTCACGCAACTCTGCAGACAAAGCTAAATCACGCCCAAGTGTAAAAAGAATACGTAAAATGCTTTAAAAAGCACCGGTTCTTGTTGGTTTCAGTAGTTTTATAACTTCCACAAAACCTGTCAATCGAACTAAACTACCTGGCGATTTTCTGCTACACTGTAAATATTTTTTCAAATGTGCAACAAACTTGAACCGAGAAAGAAAAAAAATCAGCAGGTGTAAAACCTTTTTGTTGTACCTGTCTTTGCTTGTAATAAACTAACTAAGCCTAACTTCGCTCAGTGTACAGACATCTCTGTCATGCAGAATAGGTGACCACACGTAATCCACATACAAAATAAAAGTTGAGCATGGAATTAAAATTTCTCTCGTTTGTCCATTTTGAAACAGCAAACTACTTAGATTCAAACTGATAATTCTTCATATTGGGAAATGAGCAGATAAAAACCATCCCAAATAATTTGAAGACAAAATAAATAGAATATGGTGAGGAAAATATGTCACTTGGTACAATTCAAGCTGCCGTCATTCTATTAAAGACCCTCTATTAAGGCTAAAGGGTACCCTATGTCCATTTGCGAAACGCTTCACGTCAAAATATTGCGGAAGCTTCTTACGCGTTAGAATCAATCACGCTTACGTATACGTTAACAATTGGGTAATTCTCCGAAAACTGAAAAATGCCTGAATTCAATTGAACTCAAGTTTTAACTAACTTCTTTTCGCTCCAAAAGTAACTGGTTTTCCTGGAAATCTAGGACAATATACTTCTTATCACCTAATTGACTTAAGGCAGTCTTTATACACGCTAACATTTGTCTGCCTGAAAAAAGAAGGCTTGTTTACACGCAACGGGTGAACTATTGAACAGATCTTTTTGCCTTACCAAATTCGCCGATAATGAAATCCACTTAAAAGTTCACAAATCACGTTCAAATCAAACCATTGTTTACGGGTTACGCCCAAGGGACCCAAGGTGGCTCCGTTGTCATTACAGGCGCAATTATGAACTATGACAATGAATAATAATGAATGAATGAGCTATAACTCTTTTCGGTTTTTCGATGGGTATGAAAATTTGAAAAGAACTGCAGGTATCATTTGGCAATAATATGAAACTATATAAAATATTTTCATTTTACTGCTGGTAAGAATTTTTTACGAGTAAGTGCTGAAGTGGACTCAGTCTACTTTTGAAAGAACGGTAATGTGTATATTGCAATATTGCTCCGAAGTTATCGTTCGTTTAAGTCAAAGTTTTAAATGCGCTTGTTAGATCAACGGTACGGTGCCACCGAAATACCAAAACCCCTTTCATCCACACGTGAATAATGGTCTTGGGATGTTAACCCTCGGACGTACAAGAAGGGGGAGTGGATGCCACCCCGCCCCCATTAGGTTTTTCTGAGTTTTTTTCCTAAAGAATAAAACATCAGCACCTGACGTTTTCTGTAGCTGTTCTTTCATCCCTCGCGCAGATTTTGACACAAGTTTGGTGATGGTCAATTGCTATGGTTACGAAATATGACGTCACAAGTAGCAGGTGGTCAAGCCAATTTTGGGTGAAAATACTTGTTTTTTCAACTTCTTTCAACAATAAAAGTAAATCTTGTGGCTAAAATCCTGCAAAGTACTTATTTACGTGTTATCGCGGTTTTATCCTGATTTCTAATTCTTGGTAAAATCCAAGATGGCGGCCAAGATGGCGACCATTGTTGGTGACGTCACAGGCCTCCAGCAGCGCCACTACCCATAAAATATACCTCACCTTGTTGAGAAGAACAAAGGCTTTCCACTAAAGGTAAACTCGTTTCAAAATACTGCAACATATGAAAAACTCCGGGAAGGGGTTCTATCCATCCCCTCCCCCCCGGTTGTACCACGGCAGGGGTATGAATTTGCGTGTACGTCCGAGGGTTAACAACCACGAATCGCGAACAAATAAAAACTTAACTTGAATTACATGAGAAAATCAGTATAGCTCCAGTCACTGGGAGTACGCTAATTTGTTCACTTTCGGGGGTTACAACAGCAGCTATTTACAACTTCTTCTAAAAGTTCCACGTATGGGGCCTTCCTCCTCACTGCTGGTACAGGTGTATTCAGCTCTAAGCGTTCGCAAAGATGTTGGAGTAGTGCCACCTTCGTTTTCCGAAACTCAGATTTATTGTTGACCAGAGAGCATACGTTGTACTGGTCAACAATAATGGGATGACGGAGCTGCAGGGAAGAAAGCACGTTTTCTTTTGCAGTAGCGAAATTGCTTTGCTCCTCTACAGCTAAGGCGTCCTCTTCCAAGACCTCAACCTGTTGCTGACGCACTTTTAGTGCCAGTCGCGAGAAAAAGGAGGACACTTGCTGTGGTGTCAGGAATTCAGAAACAGCGAATAACCTTTCCCCGTCTTTGCCCCTGGAACGGCGCATTTCCTTCGCTACAAAGGCAGGGTCAATCTTACTGCCGGTGGACTGGCCGATATTGAACTTTTCCTCCAAGTAGGTTTTCTGCTTTTGGTTAAAACGGTATGGTTTCTTCACTTGTTTCAGCGCCCACCCTTCCTTGACCTCCTCACGTTGATGTGAACTGCCAACTGAGCTTGGTACTGCTCGCAGTGCAGGAATAAGCCCTACGCCCTCCTGTAGGCGAGCGGCGTATTGATGTTTGGCCAAATCCATCAGGGTGTGCCTTTCTGGAGAGAGGGTACAGGCCTCTAACGACAGGTGACGTTCTAGGGCAGACGCTCTTTGAAAAACTTTAACACAACCTTCTTTAGGGCACGAATAAACATTGGACGGATGCCTTTCAGGGCTACTTTGCTGAACTTCGGGAACTTGGGGGGCTGCCTGGAGTCTAGCATGCGTTGAAGCCGATTTTAGAGTAATTGGTTTAAACCCACCAGCCGAAAAAGAAACAGTAAGCCAGTTATGGGTCACATCTGTCAAAAGAGTAGGAATATGAAGCATATGTTACAGCAGAGTTACTGAAATGAGTAATTGTAAAAAATATTTATTAATTCCTTGAGGTGTAGTAGCAAAAACCTTATCCCAGTGACGTTAACAAAATTTTCAAGAAAATTATATTAAAGGAAAAACAAATATTTCTTTTACGTCTCCCTTGTTTCATGTGCTGCGTTTTACAAAATACCGCGACAATAGCTTGTGCCATGCCTACATACGGGAGTAGCAACGGAAGTCTGCTATCCCCACCAGTTAAGGACATTCTCCCCTTTTTATTTTCAACTTCCCAGAAATGACACTGACCTGGAACCTTTTCCGAGGCTATGATCTTTCCAGGACCGATCGCATAAGCACGCCAAGCTTGAAGGGAGTCCTCCGTGAACAGAAAGTTATTCAGCTTGCTTATTCCAGATATCTTTCGAAGCTCCACAGTTTCTTCTATTGAAGGCAGGATAGCAACTCGGACACCTTCCACTCCTCCGTAGGATAACAAGGCCTCCTTCATCTCCGCTGCTGTTGTGACATTGTTGCCCTCGTTAATGTACGTTCGGATGTGGTTTTTGCAAGTGGCCGCCAACCTGTCCGCCGCTCCCTTACCTCCTTGGGGGTCACTGAAATCCATACGTACAACTTTGATACCGGTTGACTGCTCAAAGGTACGACAAGCAAGGATAGTATTAGCGCAGTGGTAGCATCCTGCGTTGTCTTGCCGTAGATGGGCCTTGGTAATCTCAGGGTATTCTTCGTGCAGTGTTTTTAATACGTGCTGCATCATCAACACCACAGCAGTACTGTCCTGACTACAAGACTGCACAACATGAACAAACGCCTGTGTCTGGATTTCGGAGCCGTTCACCCGTCTGAATACAACAGCGATGTGCCATGAAATCCCTCTCTTGCCGAACCAGTCTTGCTGTGATTCTCTATATAGCTGAGGGAGGAATTTCATGGCCCAGTCGCTAACAATAAGAACGGTGTCGTTGTTCAACAGTTCAAGCACATCCAGCCTCGATTTATCCTGCTGTACGGACCGTAATTGATGCGCCTTCCATGCCTGCACTGATCTCTTGGCCGCCTCGAACAGGAACAGAGCTTCATCACGTTGTTCCTCGTCAGGAAATACGGCATTTTCCGCGGCTGTTCCAATTTCATATATTGCAACATCGAGGGCATGACACTGATCACACAACTCCTCGTGATTGTGCTCGCAATGCTGTCTGAAGGAAGACTCGGATACGTCACTCAGAGCGTAAACGCTGCAGTGATCGGCCACTCTTGCTTCACTGTTGATATGCACCTTAAATGATAAGAAGATTCTTTGTTACTTTTCTATTTTAGCACCCTTACTGTTGAATACTGCTGTTGATGTTGACGTGAAAAAAAGATTTTAAATTGTAATTCCTATTAAGATATTTATTTAGTTATAAGGAAATCCTAAGACTAGGATGACTCTTAAGTCAAAGGCACGGAAAAAATTTGCCCGTGATCAAGGAAAAAGGGGGAAGTGGCGGGAAAAAGGAAGGGAGGGAGAAAAATTTCGCAGACAGTCGTCTGAAAGTAGGAAACGTTCTAACGTATATTCAAATTCTCGTTGTTTGTCTTACGGATGACTGAAAATGACTCACGCAATTAGGTGATGATGTTAACTGTCAAATCTGATCAATCAGAGCGTATACCAGAAGCTGGGATAACGGAGAAGGCCGTTAAAGAAATGATTACAGGCTCCGCCTCCTTCCTCTCCCCAGTTTCCTCCCGTTTTATTTTCGAGTTCGCGCTTCCTCAATTTCGCGAACCCGACTATCTTGGAGCCTGGAACAGGCTAAGAATAAAGGCTTTTCACTATAGTCAACGGGTTACGCTCTCGCGCCCGTCATGCTGTTTTATAATTGATTATGGCATGTAAAAGTTAACCCTCGGACGTACCACCCCTTCCCCCCCATCCCCCAAGGTTTTTCTGAGTTTTCTCCTAGAGGATAAAACATTAGCACCTGATGCTTTCAGTAGCTGTTCGTTCATCCCTCGAGCGCATTTTGAGTCATGTTCAGTGATGGTCAGTTTCTATGGTAACGAGATATTACGTCATAAGTAGGAGGTGGTCAAGCCATTTTTGAGAAAAAGTACATGTTTGGTCAACTTTTTTCAACAATAGCAGGAGCCCATAACCCATGGGCTCCTGACAATAGAAAAAAATCTTGTGGCTAAAATCATGCAAAGTGCTTATTTATTATTTTTTCTTGTGGAGAAGATCAAAGGCTTTCCACTCAAAGTAAAATTGTTTCGAAATACTTCAACATACTAAAAACTCCAAGGGGCTCCATCCACCGCTCCCCCCTTGTACCACGGTGGGGGTATAAATTTGCATGTACGTCTGAGGGTTAAATAAATATCTTATCATCATTATATAGTAATTGTTTACTGCTACGATAATAACGTTATCCTGGTTAATGTAAGTATCATCTAACGCGCGATTTTTTTAAATTCGAAACGCAAATACAATATAGTTTGAATCATTAACAGTTACCTTAAAATCACTCTTTAGGTAGAGCTTTCCTGCTTTTAGCTGATCTTTAATTCTTCCGCCCCACTCTTCTCCGTTAGTTTTGAGTAACGAAACGTGATCTGCTATGGAAGCAAGGTCATCAAATGCTCTACCTCCTTCCGCCGCGAAATAATCTAGCCCCTGTAGGGACGTGCGGACAGACGCACTACACTCTGACAGAATTCGCAACAGGGTACTTCGACTTGAAGGCTTAAAATTGGCCTCAGCACAATACTGATTGTACTGCGTCACAATCCGTTCAGGTATCATTGTGCGCACTATGTTTGGCACAGTGATTATCTTCCCGGAAGAGAGGTGAAGGTGTTTTTCCCCAAATGGCAAATCTTGTACTAAATGAGGGCTAGTTATAAAACCCAGAAAGTGATCTAATTGTTTTGGCTCTATTTGAAGTCTCGGAGCCTTCTTTTCGGGTACGGGAGCATTTCTTCCATGCTGAACACCGTGAAGCTTGGCCATCGTATATCGATACTGGGTCAAACCAGGTATAAATGTGGAGATGGCTTTAAAGGAAGCCACTCCTGTCATCACGGACAATACCTGACGACGAGTATCCCAGGAGGCTGCGTTACTGTATGACTCAGCCAGAGCCTCTAGGTATGCTACCTCTGAAGGTAGAGATGCGGCATGAAGACCCAGCTGCCGGTTCACGATATCAGATGACTGGAGTGCTTTCCACAAATGGGGTGCGTTAATTGGCGAAATGGTTTTAAGGACGGTGGAAACTATCTCGCTGGATCGCTGAATGTATCGGGACCGTGTTCGGCTGCTTACCTCGCCCCATTCCAGCCAAGGTCTTCCAAGCGGTTGAATATTACATTGGTTTAGAAAAGTATTGAACAATTCACGCGGCTGCGTTCTAGCGGTTGAAGAGCCATTCCCGTCTCCAGTTGATGAAGCAGTACTTGCGGTCTCCGGAGAAAGAAAAGATTCATCTGCTATCTTCATGTGGCTGAAGCCGGTTGCTAGCTCGTCGGATGTGCTACTGGTACTGACCTTTTCTTCCTGTAGTGATAAAAGAAAAATGCACTGCTTATAAAACATATCAGCTCACTTCACAGCCGAGCTAAAATACATTTGAATCACACGAATTTTAGTATCTTCCTTCCAACTTGTGGTAACATCACTCATCGAACGTCGTCGAATGTGGTTACAACCCTCTAGAAAATTATATTTTCTCAACAAGCGACTTTCTACCTCTCTTTGAAGCTCTGTTCCAGGCGTATAGATGGTAGAGAGTGGTACGAAATCACTCCCCTTTGCGCCTCCCTAACTGTTTGATCGCCTAGAACAGGCTTCGTCCTTTTTCGTACATCCTATTTTTTTCAACACACAGCAAACAAAGAACACTCAATTTGAAATGTAGCTTACCTCTTCCTGTGCAGACTCAAGTCTTTCTTGGTCTTCGGCTTGGGTACCGCCACCGGTTACTTCCGGTGCAGAATCCGCAGTTTCACGGGTGACCTCTTCACTAGCCACGAGGCTGACTAAATGCTCTCGGCATTGCTTGCAGATTGCTGAAGTTTAAAAGAACAAACAATTTGTTAGAAATTAATATTTTCGAAAAGCAAAGTTCAGAAAAAACAGTGTACCGTCCTTTAAACATAACCTAGCTTAACGTATATGAAGTGATTGATAAGGCAATTTTTTTAAAATTAGGGTAAATGTAGGGTTGATCCTCAAAGCAAAAAGTACCCAATACCACCCTACCGACCCCTCCTGCTCCTTCTCTGAGCTAAAAATAATAGCCATGACGTAATGGTCTGAGAGCGGCTTTGACGTTGTCTAAAATAATAATATTTAATAAAAGAAATACTTACGTGAGCCCAAAGGAACGAGCACCTTCGTTGCTCGCAAAATATACGCGGATATCATCTTCTTCAAGCCGCATTGGGCCTTTGGGGTGCCTTTGTGTACAGCCACCCTATCAGGGACGGTACAACGTGATCTATTGCACCGCCACCTGGTACCAAACAGTTCGCGATGGCGGGGACAAACTGTCATTTTAATGTGTAAATCTTGTGGCTCAAACACGCCTAATGTAGAGATAAAGATGTTGTTTATCATAACCATTAATTAAAAAAGAATTTTAAGGTAGAATTGATCTTTGTTTATTGCAACAGCTCAGTATCTTACCTGCTCGCGCGAGTAGCAAATTAGCCTCGCTGTCAACACAGTCGTCGCTGATCTTGCAGTAAACCAAGTGACTGACGATATCTTTTGTACAATTGCCGATTGCAATGCATTCAACATTCGCAGGATTAGTTGTACTGGGGCCACAGGGGCCACCAACCAAGTTTGAATATGTACAAGACGCCATAAGATTGACTTGTACCACATAACTTTAGACCATGTAGACTGGCCAGGAATTTCTTTTCGGGCGCGTCACGCGTCACGCACTTCCGGAATGACATATTCCTTCCCTCGTGGTGACAGATTAATACAACAAAATCACTTTGATACGACCTGCCTGCTGCAAGTTCCAGGCACAAACTCTTTAAGAGCGGATGTGTCTTCGTCTAGCATTCATGAAGTTAGGGTAAGTTAATATCTCTCCTGCTTTTAAGGTTTCGACTGATACGAATAGAATTATAGTAAGAGTATAGTTTGACAATATTTGAACTGCAAGTGTATCTGTGCATTTATGGTTTATCCCAAACATCTGTTTCAAAGGCATCCTGTTTGAGCTGACAGAAATGCAGATTTATAGTCGGTAGCCGTTAGAACTCTGAAAAAGGTTCAAATGTCGAAGAAACTATATTTCCCAACAGAGAATTTTTTCGAAGAGTAGGAACTTGTTTGTTTCACGAGCTCTCGTGGTGTCAAAATACCCTTCAGATTTTGGTCTCCCGACGGGGCGCGTATGGAATGCCGCCAGAAATTTTTTAACACAAGAAACAGCAAACGATGTGCTTTAAAACAGTGTTTGTTTCATGTTGAAATGCCATGTACCAATTGGGTTTTTTCGATGGTGAAGTTAGGTCAAATTTGCCATTTTTGCAAAGAGCCGAAACCGCGTTTCTTCTCGCGGCCGCCACAGTCACATTTAAACAGCTTATCTAAAGTTAATTACTGAATTATAAAGCACAAGTCTTTGTATGTTTTGTGACGTGATTTCATTCAGAGATATTATCCCGTTTTTATGTACGAGCGCGAAGAAAATGCTCAATTTTTACTAATTTCATACTCGAAAGAGCGCCGATTTACCGTTTTTCAAACTTTGCCCGATTCCTGAAAAAATAAAAAGCCGTCACAAGTTTTAATGTGATTTTTGAAATAAGTGTACTATAGAGATTATTTGGGCAAAATATGAAGAAATTCAAAAATTCACGACTGTCAACCGATTCTCGAAAATTACAGACATTGTCTCTTAAGAACACTCTATGGTATTTTAGAGGCAAGAGTTTTTGTTGAACTAGCTTGTACTACTATGCTGTCACACGACAGTTCTTGGTGGGATGACGCTTAGGATACTTATGCATGCAATCTACCCAATTTGCAGGAGCAGAGCGCTACTTGCACAAGGAGAAGCAGAAAGAGGTCAATGGAAGACAGAGCGCGAAATTTTCGTCAGTACTACCTCCCAAAGTATTTGGAAGAAAAGGTCAGGGGAACTTAACTTTTGACTTTCTTTATTTTTTGCACTTTTTACAACATTTACATCCTAGCTATATGACGTTGACAGAAAATATAGTACAATAAAATTGGGCCAGGGAACAACTGCAAAATGTACGTGCGCAGTATGATAAAATAATAGAGGACTGTCCTTATATATATATATTCTCGCCGTGGGGTAATCTTCTATGCGACGTGATTTGATTTTTTGGGAATATAAACTCCGCCCACTTCATACAACTGTTGTACACGCAGGAACACAAGGAAGCCTTCTCGCTTTAAGAAAATGACATATTACTTTTTTTCTTTTTAGACCGTCATTGGAGATCCAGGTGATGAGGAGTTGGCGGAGAGCAACAATGAACCCCTTACCTGCATGGGAATTACCAACAATCAGGGCTCCACTGATAACGTGGTGATCATTGAAGATGATTCCTCTAGGCCAGCGGTTGCGGACGTTATACCCCCCAGGAATGATTTAAGTGTCGAAACGGAAGTAAGCCACAGCTTAGAATCACAGCGCAGGTAAGGTCCTACCTAGGGCTTGATTGTAAATGGATTTAATTAATCAAAGGCTCCTGTGAGCCAACTAATTCATGCTGTAAGAGTATTATTAATAGCCTGTACAACAGGCGTTATTGGACCGGGGAGCTCAGGTTGAATTTCCGGCGCGCGCGCGATGCGCGAGACACGCGAGGAGAGGGGAAGAAAGTAGTTATGGTTATTGTTTTTCTTTTCCCTTCCCTCGCGTGTCTCGCGCTTCACGCACTACCCCAAAACCCATCTGAGTGCTGCCTGTTGTGCAGGCTATATTATTCAGAGTTGAACAGTAGCGGTTACTGCTAGTTATCTGATATCTTAGTACAACCGAACCATTGACAGCATATAACCTTATCAGAATGTCATAAATTAGGTTACGGTAATGAAATAACCCTGAATGTTTTTTTTTTTTTGTTTTGGTTTCATTGCAGGGTTGTAAAGATAAGAAGAGTTCAAGTTATGGCGGATATGATTAGTCTCTTTAAAGATGAAACTGTAATGGTACCCCACTCAACGTGGTCATGATAATGCTTTTGGGAAAGAAGAGGACGGCGTGGATAACAATGGTGTTTTCCTTGACGCTCTTTCCTCATTTTGGACCGCCTTCTATGAATCTTGTACAAATGGGGAAGAGGAGAGAGCTCCCGTCATAAGACACGACTTCCAAGTTTCAGAGTGGGAGTCAATAGGAAGAATAATTGTCAAAGGTTACAAGCAAGTGAAATTTTTCCCTGTCAGATTAAACAGAGCCTTTATGATAGCCAGTCTCTTCGGCGAAAGCGCCATAACCAATGAACTGTTGATAGACTCATTCCTGGCCTATCTCAGTAAAGATGAAAGAGAGTTGGTCAAGCTCTCTCTGAATAAGGGATTGGATAAGGAACACGAGGAGGAATGGCTGGAACTGTTGGATCGGTTTGGGTGCAAGACCATTCCCAATGCGGAGCAAGTCGGAGATATCGTCTTGGAGATAGCCCATAAGGAGTTGGTCCAAACGCCAAGATACATCATCGACAGCTGGAGCACACCGTTACTTGTGCTTCAGCAAGAATTTCAGTCACCAGATCTGCTTCAGCAGTTGTTTGAAAGAGGAAAACCGACCACTAAGAAGGTGATAGCACTTTTAGATGCAAATGCTGAAACCAATGCTCAAAGGGAGACCATGTCCTACCTGAAGCAATATGTACGTGGACTGGAGAGTGAGAAATTAACGAAGTTCCTCCGATTTTGCACCGGTTCCAATATGATGTGCGTGGAGAAGATCACCATCTCATTCAACACTTTGGAGGGTGCTGTTAGACGACCTGTGGCACACACTTGCGGAGCAGTGCTGGATCTCCCTACTACATATCCATCCTTTCCTTTGTTCCGCGAAGAGTGGAACAGTGTCCTGTCGTCTGAGTATTGGGACATAGATTTCCTTTAGAACAGTAAACTGCACCGCCTGTTTCTTTAATAGTGTGCACACTGACTAATACCACTCGTTGTGTTATTTTAAAGTAATTATTCTTGTACGTTTTGTTATAACATTCAGAAGAAGCGAACAATGCTCTAAATGTTTCAAAAGGTTTCGTTGTTGAGATAAATTTCACCACCTATAGAGCACATATTGTATCAGTTTTACCTCGATATTTCCCATTTAAATGCCGCGAATTCGAAGGTTCTGAAAACTGAAGACAACTAGCAGTCATTTCATCCACGACCGAGCTTTTTAGTGTCACGGGTCTATTCTTGTGATTTAGCGTCCCGAACTGCTTTTCATTTCTGATTTCAGAGAATTTGTGCTTTGCAAAACAGTTTGTGGCGTCAAATTAGGAATAGACCATGTCTCTCACAACTCAGGCTTAGTCAAATGAGTGCAAGTTTTTCCTAACCTTAAATAACTTGTGGGATATATAAAAAGCAAAATTGGTAAACATAAGTTTGCAAAAGGTGAAGGGATTAGTCTCAACAACGAAAAAACATTTAAGTTTAGGTGCACTTTCATAGTTGATGTTTGCTTGCAGTTTGAATCAGTTACTTTGGGTAATGGTTATAATCCCCTTTTACTGTTTTGTCAGTGACAAGACTCAGTTCACGATAACAAGGAATGACTGCGTGAACTATTTGTTCCTATTCTGCCGGAAATGTCACATGGATTGTAGTACATGTAGGTTTGAATTCCGCGTGTATACTCTTTTCCTTACACAAAGTTAAGGATTTCTCATAATAAACAGAGTTAAAAGTTTTTCCATGACACTTAACGTCTTCTCTCAAATCAGATAATTAACCATTGAAAAACTGCTGAATCACTCTCCTTCTGAGATATATCTGGACCTCGATTTTCCGCTATTTTCCCCGGTTATCCTCCGTCTTTTAGCGAGAGTCTACTTAACCAAGTATTTTCAATATGGTAAACAAGATCCACAAAAAGGTCACGTGCTTCTTGAGCATTTGTAGGAATTTGTAAATGTTGCTCTTGCATTATTATGTCCACTAATTCTCTACACTCGTCTGAGCAATGAGTTGGGCTTGTTCTGTCACAGCATACATCTTCAATCATGTCAATATCATCAAGATCGACCTCTGTCATGTAATCCCTTGTATCTGTCCATGATGGCACGAAATAGAGTATATCTGGTCGGCCAGAAGGAGATTCTACATTGTGGGAAGGTCTAATATTGTGCAGGTTCCATTGTTTTGCTACTGTGTGAAGCTCCTGTTGTATTAGGGGCATAAAACAAAATCTCAAGCAATCAACGTGAATTGGGTCATGGTCGCAGAACACACCTTCATCTCTCATGTCCTTAAAAAAATCGATCCACCAGCTAGCGTTACTTTTCTTCAGAAATGACCACCAAGCCTCTATTCTCTGATTGCTTACCGACCTTCCGTAAAGGAAACTTTTTTCTCCAGAGAATGCATCTTCAGTTCCTGACCGCAGAAATCGTTGTATACCTGCCACAGATATATTTTCTGTTCCCGCATCGGCTCGCACTATCCTCGGAACTCCACCTATTTGGCGAACACAGTCAGTAAAATAATTGGCAATTATTTTTGGATTGTTGTTTGTGCAACCAACTTCTAACCAAAGAATCCGTCTGCTATAACCATCTATGCCTCCATGTATACAAAACCCAAACGGTTTAAGTTTATCATAGCCGTCTATGTGCCAAATATAGTTAGGTCCTTTTGCACGGTATTCTCTTCTCCTCAATCTCTTTGACGATCGTGCTTGTACTCCAACAGGGTCCAATTCTTTGATTATTTCTCGAACGATCTCCTTTTGGACAACGAGACCGTAGTCGTTCCTCAATCGCTGGTGCATTTGACGGTATCCAATTCGATTTCGACTTCCCTCAAGTTCAGTTTCTATGGCATTAATAACTTGTTCGATATCACTGTGGTCTTTCCTTCTACGTAGACCCTCACGTCTCAAAATTCGTCTGAGCTGACGCAAGCTCAGTTGAATTCCATGAAAAGAGAGCAGAAAAGCCAATATCTCGGAGTACTGAAGACCAAGGCTAAAGTAGTGTTTAATGAGGTCGGTCCTCTCCACAACTCCGATCAACCTGTTACCAATGTAAGAGGGTAATACAGCGCTGGATACTTGACATACGACAAAAAGTATCAACAGTTCGATAGCAGACCTTAAATGGACCGCCATCTTGGCAACAACGCCGTAAACAACTGAGTGAAAAAAAAGTTTGTCAGTTTTTGGCGTGACTTATTATCGCGCGATAATTTGAATTTATCGCGCGATAATTTGGATTTATCGCGCGATAATTTGGATTTATCGCGCGATAATTTTCAATTTATCGCGCGATAACTTTGATTTATCGCGCGATATTTTTGATTTATCGCGCGATAATTTGGATTTATCGCGCAATAATTTGGATTTATCGCGCGATAATTTTCAATTTATCGCGCGATAACTTGGATTTATCGCGCGATATTTTTGATTTATTGCGCGATAATTTGGATTTATCGCGCGATATTTTCGTTTTATCGCGCGATAATTCTCAATTTATCGCGCGATAATTTGGATTTATCGCGCGATATTTTCGTTTTATCGCGCGATAATTTGGATTTATCGCGCGATAATTCTCAATTTATCGCGCGATAAACTGTGTTTTTATCGCGCGATATAAAAATGTAAGTAGCGTGTCCTCTATGGGCCACCGTAAAATTTAAGGAGTTCAAAGCAAAAACACTATTTTGTACGAGGTTTTTAAAACCATGTAGACCCAAGTGCGTACTTGTCAAAATGATGGTCACGCTAAGCCCCTACCGACAGCTACTCAAACTTTTATAAACTTGCATTGGAACGAAAACTTGGGCTAAACTTGACTAAAGGGGATAAAACGTGGATAAATTGCGGTGAACATGGGTAAACGGAGTTAAACGTGTATAAGCTGGCGTAACATCATTAAGCGGGGTAAAACGTGGATAAAAAAGCGTAAACATGGGTAAAACGAGTAAGAACGTGGATAAACTGGGGTCAACATACTAGGTAAACAAATGAAAACTTGAATATTGAATAAACTGGGGTAAACAAAGAACGGGAAGAAACATGGATAACTGGGGAAAAACATGGGTATCTGAAATGGTGTAAAACACGTTGACCAGGATAAAAGTGGATAAACTGGGGTAACACATGGATGAACGGGGTGAAATGCGGATAAACTATGGTGGACATGGGCAAACGGGGAAAGGGTGGATAAACTGGTGTTAAGACGGAAAACGGAGTAAAGCATGGCTAGACGGGGTAAAACGTGGATAAAATGGTATAAACATGGTTGAACGGGGTAAACGTGGAAAAACTGGCGTGGCAGAAGTTTTTTTTTTTTTTTCAAACAAATACTGTTAATTTTCGGCGGCTGTTGCAGTTGCTGCTTTTGATACTCACGGCAGAAAAGTCTATTAACCTTGAGGACTTAGATTTTGACTTTGTCCTTCAACATTTTAAATTATGTTTATTTGTGAACGAAGGCGATGAAGAAACTAACTCGTAATCTTATCGGAGATGAGTCAGTAGTCAGTGTTTGAAAATTTCACCGTAGTACACAGTTAAGAAGACGAAAATCGACTGGCAGAAATTCCAGATGTTTTGCCTAAGAGGAAATGAGTAATTCCTTCGACAAATATAATAACAAACATACCTGCACCTGGTTATCTTGACAAGCTTCTTTGTCATTTGCAGTGTTTTTCCAAAGACCAACGAAAGAAAGATAGAAGCGACTCCGAGCAAGACACAATGTCCAGTTTTCAAAAGACTCCAGGGTCACACTGGCGAGTGAATACTTACAGTGCTCTTAGTTTTAACCGAATATACTTTGTTTGAACGAGAACGAAGCTGATGTAGAAACTGAATCGTAGCCTTTCCGTGGAAGAAAATATGGTCCATGTTTGAAAATTTTAACGCGCAGATCACGCTCGAAGACGAGAATGAACTGGCAGAAATTCGAGAGGTTCTTCCACAATGACAACAAACTTACCTTGAAAAGCTTCTTTGCCTTTTGCACTGTCTTTTTTTTTTTCAAAAAGACCAACAGAGGAAAGATGGAAACGACTTCGAGAAAGACACAGTGCCCGGTTTCCAAAATACCCCAGCGTTATACATTAAAGAGCTAGAACTTACAGCGCTGTTAGTTCTGACCAAATAAACTTTTTCAACACGGCGGATTTGTTTCCACTTTCTCGGAAACCCTTTGTTGTGTGCTATTGTTTTCGTGAGCCAATAAAAACTTTCCTTCTGGACACCTGTCAAATGATTGTCAAATCGCGCGTCCTGCACTTGTTTCCCGTCTCCCAAACTGGAAGAAGCCATATAATAAACATCTTATTAGCCTCGTTTTTTCGGTCCGTACTGTAAATTAAGGATCCTCGTTTTTTCCATCGATTTTCGATTTTCCATCGAAAAAAAACTCGGCTCGTAATTTACAGTACGGACCGAAAACTCGGCTAATAAGAGGTATCTATTCTTTTTTGGGTATCCCATCATCAAATTGTTGGCAAAGAGAATTAATGTGTGAATTCAAATTTCAACCCTAATCCTGGGTTATCTTAACCCAGATTCGGACAACCCGGCCTTGTTTTCGTGTTTACCGTTCCCATCACCCCCTTCTCGCGCTCTCTTGTCTCCAGTTCTCGCCGTTTCTCCCCACTGAGCCTTGGGGAAGCCCGTGGAGGAGGTAGTAATCCTTGAACAATTAAGGAAAATACTTACCTAGCTGAGTTTCTGGAGCTGATGTTGGTGTCACCGGAGCTTTTGAAGTTGTTGCATCTGTTGAAAAATATTTGACACTGTTGTTCAAACCGTTACATGATAATATTACAAACAACAATATATTTTAGTTCTTTTTAGTTGTTAAATTATTGTTTTACGAAATGTTGTTGTGCATGTGTCTGTTGAAAAATATTTGAAACTGTTGTTCAAACCGTTACATGATTTGTTTTACGATGTTCCCATCATCTCCCTCTCGCCCTCACTGGTCTCTAGCTCTCGCGTGCCGTTTCTCGCTGCTCCTCACTGACCCTTGGGAAAGCCCGTGGAAAAGGTAGTAATCCTTAAACAAGGAAAATACCTACCTAGCTGAGTTTCTGGAGTCACTGGTGGTGTCACCGGAGCTTTTGATGTTGTTGCATCTGTTGAAAAATATTTGACACTGTTGTTCAAACCGTTACATGATAATATTACAAACAACAATATATTTTAGTTGCTTTTAGCTGTTAAATTATTGTTTTACGAAATGTTGTTGTACATGTGTCTGTTGAAAAATATTTGAAACTGTTGTTCAAACCGTTACATGATTTCTTTTCCGATGTTCCCATCATCTTCCTCTCGCGCTCACTTGTCTCCGGCTCTCGAGTGCTGTTTCTCGCTGCTCCCCACGGGAAAGCCCGTGGAAAAGGTAGTAATCCTTAAACAAGGAAAATACCTACCTAGCTGAGTTTCTGAAGTCACTGGTGGTGTCACTGGAGCTTTGGATGTTGTTGCATCTGTTGAAAAATATTTGACACTGTTGTTCAAACCGTTACATGATAATATTACAAACAACAATATATTTTAGTTGTTTTTAACTGTTAAATTATTTTTTTACGATGGGTCAACCATATGTCCAAAAGCGGCGCACTGCTTTTAAAACTTCTTTTAATCGGTCATTGCCGAGTTACCCCTAGCCTCTGTTTTAAAAAGTGCATGAGCGAGAAAGCTTGATAACGATTTTGATCGTCTTGTATGAAAATGAAAAACTCATTTGCATAGGAAAGGTTTTACGACTGGCTTTAAGCATGCATGACTGTGTGCAGCTCCTTTAATGTGCTATCAGTCGCATGTTTCAGTTCATTATTAGGTTTTTTTTCGGTTTTAAACAGCTTTCTTAACTTTTTTTTTATAATCTAACCTCATGATAATAGTAATGATGATGATGATGATGATGATGACAATGAAAAATGATAGTGATATTGATAAAAATAGTGATAACCATAACCATTATAACAAAAAATAGAAATAACAATGGCAATGATAATAATCAGAGAAACGATTTCAGCTAAAACTAGCAACGAGTCAGGCAGTCTGTTTGGTTCTTGTTGCTGGCGACGTCGATGCTTTTAAGGGAGAAGATGTGAAGAGTATAAGGTAAAGTCAACTAAAATTTTAATGCTTGCATAACTTGCTTTCACATTGTGTTTCGTCGTTAGTAAAACCAACTTTGCAATTGCACGAATATGATCCAGGAATATTTTCACAAATCGACGTATCCGTCCCGCAGTTGTGTAATCCGTCCTGAGCACATTCGTTGATGTCTACACAAGGGATGAGAGAGGAAATAAAAGCAATAAATATATATATTAAACTTTTAGCAACTGAGGACCACTTCAAATACACTCTTTTCTAAGCATTCCAATATATTCAATCCTAAGGATTAATCAAAGAACTTGAAAAAGAAAATTTGTTGCTGTGATAGAAACATCATCATCATCATCATCATCATCATCATCATCATCATCATCATTATTTTTCTCATCATTCTGATAATTAGGATCGAATAAGCAAAAAAGTTCCTGGTAAAAGACGCAAGAAAGTAACGGGGATTTCGATTGTGAAGCGCATGCGGCACTTACATACACCTTACACGACAACAACAATAACAACAACTTTGTTACACATTAAACAGACATTAAACAAGTTAAAATGAACCAGGAATTTTAGCTTAAGCTAATCGAGGCGGGAGGTGAAGAGGACAAGAAAGAAAATATAAGGAACAACAGTAGAAAAGGCGAACTTAATAAAAGTAGTCATACCCGTGCAATCTTCTCCTTCAAAACCATCGCGGCAAAGACAACGGTAGCCCTTATCCGTGAAGCCCACCTGACACAGGAAGTTCTCTCCTGGGCAAGGATTACTGTGGCAGAAATTCTGTTGGAGAGTATAATTTGATTCTATATACGAGATTAAAGCGTCCTGGTGCTATGTATCATAAACCCCTTATAAACCAAGACCTGACCTACTCACCTTTGTATTAGCACTAGCCTGCGTAGCAAGGGCTGGTATTGTTAGGGCGAACAGGAGAAATTTTAAGAACACGCGTGCGCACAGGAGGAATGGGGTGTTTTTTCCTGCCTTTGTTAAGACGATTCCTTATTACTACTTAAATAAATGTA